CCTAGTATGTAATATAATATGTAGGTAGTGTTGATCGGCTTGGTCAAGTGGCGTGTAAATAAGTGCGCATGCAACAAGGTTGATTTGAGGTGTATCTACTCTATGTATACGCACGGAATAGTGAAAACAGGAACTAATTCAAACGAGAATTACAATGTGCATTTCAGAGAGAGGGAGAGGGAGCAATGCGAGGGTGTAGGTACGTCTGGGCTCCCTCGCTGGAGTCCAGTTCTGGCCCATTTCTAGCCCTCACTTGAAGCACAGTCTATAGTTGCTGCACTTGTAATCCGACAGCCACAATTGACAAACATTAATGACAAAGAGATTCCATTTTCACCCTCCAGCCCGAGTTATACTGCACGGTGTGTACTATGTACCTCTCCGGAAGTACGGAGTATGTACACATGTACCTCCATTGTCCAGACTCCAACCGTGACGGCCACCGCCCCACTTTACGGCTGTCGGCCCCTTCCCATTCGGCAGGAGCGGGGTACCCGTCTCTTGCAAGTTGCAGGTGCCCTGTTCGCTCCTTCAAGCTTGTTAGAATTGATCATCTCGCGCGCAGCCCCTTTTCCGAGCATCTTCGAGACCAACCCTGTGCTCGGCGCGTCGCCATGGGAGCATTAATACACCAAGTCCGCTCTCGGAAATAGGCTTTGCCTTACTGCTCTTGTCGTTTTCCTCTTTCCGATTACCTACGTTGCATGCGCTCGGACCTTGCTGTACCACGTGGCCGAGGATGCTGGCAAGACAGCTGACATCATAACCTCAACCTGCCCTCAACCTGCTTGCGACAACGGCGCCGTCTCTCTCTTGTGCTCTCACGAACCTTTGTGGTCCCCATTTCACCCGTCTCTCGCGACGCCCCTGGGGCCGAAGCGTTCTGCGAAAATGCTGCTCCTGCACCAAATCGGCAGTGTCAAGGTCGGCGAGGTGATCCGATACAACCTCACGTACACGCCCTCGCAAGATCGAATCCTCCCCTCCCCCGAAAAACTACATGTTCGAATTCGAAATACCTCGACCATCGCCCTTCGCGCTGCCTTTGTCCACGGGCCCTATACCCTGTCCGTTTCGGCGTATCCTTCTCACTTCAATCCCAATGAAAAGTTCACCAATCCTCGCCGGTACGGAGCCCCCCGGTTCGAGCCCATGCTTAAGGCGGGAGGATCCTGGGAGTGCGAGCTGATCGTCCCAGACAACATTCGCCAAGACGCCGGCATTGGAAGCAACAAAACCTTTGGAAAGGGTCCTGAACACGATGGAGAATGCGCAAAGTGGGTGATCGAAATAGCCTCCCAGGTCATATTCTCTACTTCAGCTGCCGTGGGCTTCGATGTAGTCGTGGCGCGCGATCACAAATCTCTCAACCTCAGCCAGTCGCTGTCGTCGATTGGGGGCAACTTCAGCCAAGTGCCGCAGCCCGGAAAACTGATCGATCACCGGCAAAGTGCCGGTGCCAAGGATGGGCACCATCCCGGTCAGCCAAAGGGTGTCTTCTCAAGGGCCATACAGCTCAAGGTGGAGGACTCCGCGGCGCTTTGGAACACGCCCAGCCTTCCTGGCTGTGATGATGACGCTGTAAACAAGAGCGCCGGAAAGGACGCCGGTGCTAATCAGCCTGTGGAGAACGTGGTGAACGCTGGTGATCCGGAGATCGAGGAGCTGAAACAACCGAAAAAGCCACACGGGAAGAAGAAGAAGGTCCATCTTGTCATATTGACGCATGGTCTACACAGCAATTTAGGCGCTGACATGCTTTACATGAAAGAAAGCATCGATGCGGCCGCTAGGCAAGCACGCATTGATGCGAAGGCTAGAAGGGCAAAGGAGAGAGCTGCAAAAAAGTCAAGGGTCGATAAACAACCTGATGGCTCGATGAACGAGGATTTACCGTCTAAAGAAGACCGGGATAACATGGCAAATGATGTGGGCAATGATGATGACGACGATGACGACGAGGAAGTCATCGTGCGTGGATATCCTGGAAATGCTACAAAGACAGAGAAAGGAATCAAGTACCTTGGGAAGAGATTATCGCGATATATTCTGTCAATGACGTACCCAGACCAACCATTTCTTCCGATTGCGAAAGGTGCTCTGAAAGACTGCGCCGGTGAGGGTGGTGTTGAAGCCCTAGTGGGCGATCACCATCATCACCACCATAGTCTCCATCCTCATCATCTCTTTCACCAGGACCAGTCACACCAAAATGGTACTCACGACGTGAAACAAGCGCACAGGAATAGTGACATTCAAGCGGATACTACCAAGGCAAAGCATGATAGACACTACAGAAGTTACCAGATCACAAGCATAAGTTTCGTCGGACACTCTCTTGGCGGTCTGATTCAAACATACGCTATTGCTTATATACAGAAACATTCACCCAAATTCTTTGATCTTATTCAGCCCGTGAATTTCATTGCGATGGCGACCCCTTTTCTGGGGTTAAGCAACGAGAACCCACTTTACGTCAAGTTCGCCCTTGACTTTGGGCTTGTAGGTAGGACCGGACAAGATCTGGGCTTGACCTGGAGAGCGCCTACCATTGCTCGGATTGGATGGGGCGCTCTTGTCAGCAACCTCGGCGAGTCGGCGCATAAGAAGGTGTATGGCGAATCACAGCCCGAGTCGAAACCACTGTTACGAATATTGCCCACCGGCCCGGCTCACACGGCCCTGAAGAAGTTTAGAAACCGCACAGTCTACTCCAATGTGGTCAATGACGGAATCGTGCCGCTCCGCACAAGCTGTCTCCTGTTTCTCGACTGGCAGGGCCTTGGCCGCGTCGAAAAGGCTCGGAGAGATGCTGGCTTGGTAGAAACGGTTGTTGGGTTTGGGTGGGCAGAACTAACCGGCACGAACATGGCGTCATCGAGACGCAGGAAACAAGTCGCCTTGGAAGAAGAGCAGCAAGACGATTCTGGTACCACTACCCCCAAGGGCTCTCCCAAAGAGGGCATGCGACAAGTTCCGCAGCCCTCTAGTGATGCGATGCATGAGGACGAACGAGCTAGCATCCGTTCTGTACCGCGGGCCCATAGTGATGAGGATGACGAGCCGGGTGTAGAGAACAGCAGTAGCAACAACCATCACAATGGTCCAGGCTCTGGTATCAACTCTCGCTTATCCACCTTTTTTGGTCTTTTCAAGAGCCAAGATCCGCCCAAAACCCCAGTTCCGACGGCGAAGCAGAAAAGGATGCTGCGGCGAGGACAAACTATGCCTCTTGTCAGCCCCGACATAGCCGCCTCGAGCTCCACTGACGAGTCTGACAGAAAACAGCAGCAGCCGCAGCCAAGCAAGGCTACTACCGGTCATGAGGTTGATGGCTATGCCGATGGCATGTCGGCACCGCCAAAGACGACTTTCTTCGAATCAGCAGGCGATGTGCTGAACCCCAGTATCCCAAGCGAAGAATACCTACTTGACCCGTCTAAGCGATCAAGAACCATCTTTCACGACCGAGTATACCATCCCAGTGATATCCCTCCGCCGCCGCCGCCGTTGAAGAAACGCCAGTCGACGTTCGGTCGTCGCAGCAAGAATTCTGCCAAGATTTCGGGCTCGCCGCAACCATCAGAGCCAGGCAGTCGTTCAACGTCTCCTTTCCCGCCCAACAATCCGCTGCATGCGGATTCCAAGGAAACCGTCTCGGGCAAAGACCACGGCGACGACACAGCCAAGACCAGCCCTGAGCCCAACCCCTCGGAAACCGTAGACGCTTCCAACATGAGAGTAGAAGAGAAAATTGCCCGAGGCTATCATCGGGATCTGTCGTGGCGCAAAGTGCTGGTCAAATTGGAGCCAGACGCGCATAACAACATGATTGTGAGACGCATGTTTGCCAACGCGCATGGCTGGCCAGTGATCAAACACATGGTCGACGCACACTTTAGCGACTCCGAGACCGCACGCGTTCGCGATGAAGAAGAGCCCAACATGGATCGAGCATTTGAAGTCCATCACGGACCAGCCGCCGATGGACGAGAAGTAAGGCCCTTGCACCAGCTGCGCAACGAAGGTGACCACGCCAGCGGTGGGAGCAGCAAGCGCGAGAGCGGTGGAGAAGTCAACGAAGCTGGCGAAGAAGCTTTGGACGAGGTGCCCGAGCTGCCCAAGAAGAGCGACAGCGAGAGCATCCCCCTCGGGCGTCCGCGACTCGAAGCCTCAGACCGAGCGGATTCCATGACTTGGAGTGACCGAGACTGGGCGGACACCGACAACGAGAGCGACATGGAAGTTTACAGTGGGGGGAAAGCTGGCCAGCAGCAGCAGTCTCAGCAGTCGCAGCAATCGAAAGGGTCGTCAGATACAGCAGGAACTACGTCCCCAACTCTGAGTCCCTCATCGTGGAAGTGGGCAGCCGAGAAGATTGTGGGCAAAGGAGCCGTAGGGGGTCGGAGCAAGAGTCCCCAGTCGTAACGGGGATGTTGGTGACGGCTTTGCTGCGGCATTATTCATCTGTGTGTACATAAAAGCTTGGATGGGAGGGCTTGTAAGGGTGCGGTGCGGTGCTGTCTGTGTCTGTGTGTATATATGAGGTTGGCGAGAGGGGTTTCCAAGAGGCATGTTTTCACTCACGATGGAGAAGGTACTTTACCTTTTTAATACACTAGATTTACATTCTGGAAGGAAGATCTTTCCATAGAGTTATGGGCATTATGGGTATGTCGCGTGTTCAGTCACAGCGATGTGTATGGACAGCTCGCATTTCGCCAGGGTATCGCGCCTCGAAACGTTTTGGGCAAAAATGAAGAACAGCAAAAATGGTCTGTGCCGACTCGGCGGAGGTCTTTCTTTGTCCACTGTCTAGGGATGGGCGAAATGTGTAAATTACGATCCTCGGTGTAATTTACAATGTAAATTACACGTAAATTACGCGTAAATTACATGGTTTGTAATTTACGTGTAAATTTGGAATAACAACCCTACCACTGTCAGTCAGTGTTCATGACGAGGGCCAAAAAAGGTCATGGTGATAAAACTTGTGTGTCTGGACGAACAGGGAATCGAACCCTGGACCACTCCCAGTGGCTACACTGATGACCTAGACCCAGGAGGTCGGTAGTCACGTCATGCTAAGGGAGTATTATACCACTAAACCATTCGCCCGAATGGATGAGATAATACCACGAAATTACATACTATAAATGTATTGACACAAAAGTAGGTACAACTCGCATGCTCTCCGTGGATTTCTTCCTCATCACTCTTCGTAGCAGCTACCATGTGGCTTTTCCAGGAGCCATATGCTCAAAAGAAACGTAATCTCATCAAATCGTGCACTTCTGTGCAATGTGCATCGCCTATTTTCCGCGCGGCAAGTAAGTGGGCCCTATCCCGACAAAGTTCAAACGTCGGCAAGTTTGCCGCCTCAGACGCTCCAAGAAGGCGCGCACGTGATGCTGCAGGGCCTCTGGCAAGTACGTCACCACGTCGGGCATCGCGCTGTTGACCCACGAGTCACGACATGCCGTCAAGGATTTACGGTACCTTGCACCAACGACGAAAGTAAGCAAGTTGCTGTCACGAATCCCTTTATTCCTGCTAGCTCTGCTCTCTCTGCCCTTTCTGCGTCCTCATCGAAACCCAGGCTTCACGGCGATCCTCTCTCTGTTTGCCGTTCCGCGCCATGGAGCAATAGGTAGATAGAATCCGCCCTGCATCTCATCCCTGGCCGTTTCCACTTTGTCGCAAAGCTGCGCCCTTCTGCGCTTCCTCCCGAGTCCCAGGACGAGGAAACTACATACCTAGGACGGCCTCCCATCGCTGCGCCTCCCTCAATCATTCACATCTTTGCGCTCACCCTCTTTGAAAGTTTGAAAGTGAGGAAAAAACTGCATATCTTGCAAGAAAATCCCAATTCTTTGAAGCATATCATAAAAGGATCGATCATCCGTCGTTGGTTCTCGTCCAAGCTGTGCGGGCGCCTCTCCTCCAGCATCACGATTTCATTGTCACGTCACGCTCCCGCTCCCGCTCTGATACGCCGGGAACAACAGCAAACCCCAAACTTCAAGGGGACTCAATACCACGAGAAATCATGACGATGCGCCTCTACCTCCTCCCCCTTTCCACACGGAGGAGCCTCCTCTACGCCCAGCGCTTGCACCACGCGACCGCTCCGACTGACACCTCGTACTTCGACCGCGGGGCCGCCTGGGCAGAGCGCACGTGGTCCAACTGGGAGAAGAAGGAGTCAGGATGGCAGAAGAAGGTGGTTGAGTACGGGAACCACGCGTTTCGGCGGATACCCTATGAGGAATGGGGCCTCAAGTCTGTGCCGCTGCTGTCGAGCCGGGAGCAGCTGCGGCGGCAAAGTGCGGACAAGGGCGAGGAGCAGATGCAGATGCAGACGCAGACGCAGGGGCAGGACCAAGATCACGTCGAGCTGGTGTTTCCGCAGAGTGTCATGTCTGAGGCTCAGGCGGAGGACGCGGTCAGAAGGATGGGCAGTGAGCGGGATGGGCTGCATAGGCGGAGAATGTTGTGGTGTATTGTGGGAATGCCCATCACGATTCCCTTTGCGCTTGTGCCGATGTGAGTTTTCCTTCCATCTTCTCCCCTTCTACGTTTCCCCTTGGCTAGTCAGGGGGGGGTTGATCCTTGGTCAATCCGTCGGCCATCATTTGGGTGGTACCAACTTGTTGTATGCAGAAAAGACTCGTGCGAAGCACGCGCATTTTCTGCGTCTTCTTCATATGGTCAAAGCAAAGGACTTGGGGAAAGAAAAAGAAAAAAGAAGAAGAAAAGAATCGGGCTCTAACGCGGAAATGCCTTGCAGAATCCCCAACTTGCCCTTCTTCTACCTCGTCTACCGCGCTTGGTCGCACTGGCGCGCCATCGCCGGCGCCAAACACATCCAATTCCTGGTGTCCAAGAAGCTTCTCCGACCGACGACCTCCCCCGTCCTCGACGCTCTGTACAGCCAAACAGGTGCTCAGCAAAAAACACAAGCTCCCACTCCCTCGGATCCGAGTTCCTCAAGCTCTAGCCCTTCCTCGCAGGAGACACTGCTCCTGACTCAGGCCCAGGTGCGGAGCTTCTCCGAAAAACTGGACGTGCCAGCTCTGGAAATCGAGCTCGAGAGAGCAATCTGGCAGGTCGAGCAGGCCATTGGCAAGGAAATTCAGGAGGAGGGGTCGAAGCCCCCGGGGGCTGGAAAAGAAAAGGAGTCATGAAAATATGAATATATGACGGGTAATGTAACTGGGATCTGTATGATGACGCATATACGCTTCTCCTAAAAAGTCTTTAGCTGTTTCCAGTTCATAGATGGATAGTTATATACAGCTGAGCGCGGGGGTTTTGCGCGCTATTTATGCGTATTTGAATGGGTATATCTCTTACCCGAGTAGCCTCCCTCAGAGCCTCTATGAGAGCATGTTTCCACCATGAAGCAGGTCTGCACCTCTGCAAGATTCTCTTGGGTAGTTAACGGCACAGTTGCACTGAAGGACAAGTCATGGATGGCCTGCTGTTGATCCGAGGATTTTACGCGGTAGCAGTGTAAGCGACGTGCGTCGTATTGGGTCTTGCTTGGTGTGAATGTCTTTTGTTCCTTTATTATACCGAGGGAGGCGAAGAGGGCCAGATATTGATGACAGTCGTGAAATCTACGTATGTACATATCCCCAATGCTTGATTAAGGAGTGGGACCCTGCCGGTGCCGGGGGTTCGATGTAGTAGGGAGTATCTGAGTTCGAGCGCAACAGCCCATGTACACACGACAGGAATCCACAAGAACACCCACTCCCGCTTGATGTAAATAAACGAAGCGCACTGCTTTCACAGTCCAAGTATCTTTGCAAGCTAGTGTGCAAGGAAGGAAGAAACGGATTAAATATGTAAGGGTACCCAAATTATGCCCAGCCGGTCATCCTCAAACCGGCGATATGCTTAGGAACAAGAAAAGGAAAAAGTAGGATAGAAATACCGAAGCGAGTGGCCAAGGCCGTCCGCGTCGCCTTGGGTCCCCAGATGAATCATTATGTGTTGTATACCCAATTGTGGCGCGTGCCATCATTCTTCATTCCGCACGTCAAAGGACAAATAACCTCCAAACTAAACGACAACGCAGCACCATTACCCTAATAGACATGCTCACCGTAGTCGCGGCTTGCACTACTCCGAAATAAACGTAGCTTCCATCAGGAGCTGGCCCTCTTCGGCGATTTCTTGATCTCCGATTTTGAGCTTCAGTGTCATCTTTGGTGTGTACTGAGGACCGAAAAAGTTGTGTGTCAGTGAGGAGAGCAGCATGGAGTATTCAGCCGACGACGATAACTGTCGTATATATGACATACCTGGTAGATATAGGGTTTTGTACCTGCCGCAGCAGCCACGATGGTCTTGACGAAGCCCGGCACTTCTGCCATGACATCAACGCGGTCACTTCTCTGGCCCAAGCTGCCTTCGATGGTAGCGCTGACTAGCTTGGCATCCTTATTGGTGCCTTCCCATGCCATCTTGACCGCACTGGGTTCCGGCCACTCGTTCTCCGTATCGTTCTTAACCTCGACATGAATGATCTCGTGGCCGGCGCCAGCAGTGAGAATCTCGCCATCCTTGGCGATACCACCCACGTTGACCAAGGTGGTGCCGTACGAGGCGGGTGTAGTAAATTCCATCATGATGGCAGAGTAGCTGGGGCCCTGGAAGCAGACAAAATTCCACTTGGCAGCAGCGTGGTGAGGCTTCATGCCCTGTAGCGCAAACGAATACATGGCGCGACCCTTGAAGTCGACTGGGCCATCGGGGGTGGTGATTGTACCTTCGGCGGCGCATCGTGGCCAAAAGACGTGCCGAATGCAGCCCCACGGTTTCTCGAGGTTGGTGCCGTACTTTGTGGTTCCGGTCTTGCCGGCGACGAAGCCAGGGGCAGTTCTAGTAATCTTGATATTGACGATTGATCTCTCATCGTTCATGCTCTTGATGGTATACTCGGTTCCGTCTTGCGAGAGTTCCAGGATGCAGTCATCGGCAAAACAGCCGGTCTGGTCCTCATTAAATCCAAAGTTATTCAGAGGGGTCGAGCACCACAAGTGAGGCTTGGATGCATCTTTGGAGAATATTTTGGAGTTGAATTGGCAGGTGGTCCGCATGCCGCTATTAGCCCAGAGGAGAGATGGTGCGGTGTATTAGCTCAGAGTACATCCATGGTGGCCTTGAAGGTAAATCGCGAGACGAAAGAGGAGAAGAAGACGCTCCACGCACGCAACGTTACTATAGATGACTTGCACGAGACCAACGTCACCATTGTCCGACGCCAGATAAAAGGTCTGAGTCTCGACACACGTCGAGTCCATGGCGTTCCATTTCAGGTCATCGCGGGTAATCTCCGTGTATGGGATGTCCTTTGCTTCTTCGGCTACGGATCTGATAGCCGACGGACCATAGATGGGCTCCTGTGTGCCGGCGACGTTGGCCAGCCTGGCGACGGAGAGAACAGGATTCATGGGTTAGCTGAGACTGCGGAGCCATGGGGCGCAAGAGCCGGGGTATAAAGAGCTGCGCGCTTGTTCCAAACTTACTGTTGCTTTGCCCAGTTGAACATGATGTTGGAGGAGGAAAGCGTGTCTATTTTGCTGCGAAAAGGAGGCAATGGTAGGGGAGGAATACGACAAGACGATCGAAGCAAGTCTGCTGCGATGAGGAAGTGGGATGTGGAAATGCGCAGGGGGGCCCCTCACTTGGCGGAGACTGGAAGGTGTGGCAGTAGCGCTAAGGAACAGAAGAGTGGCAGAGCAGTAGAGCAGAGCAACAGGCGTCGCCTGGCGCATAACCTCCTTGTACAAGTGGGGAAGCGAGGACCCGCGGGATGACCTCAGCCCCCACTGCACTTGCTCAAGCCGCAGAGTCCAGACGTTGCCGTTGTTCATCAGCGATCAATCAAGCACGGAGAGCCTGGCCCACAAATGAGTGGACCTGCCCATCCAAGACGAGATGTCGAGGGCATTTGTTGAACCGTGGTCAGACGCTTCACTCTAGAAAACAACGGCACGCGTCCACGGGTCGTAACACACTCCTTGCGCAATTTATCCTCTATCTACACTACTTACAAAGGGTTCTCTACCTATCTTCTGGATCCCCTGCTCCTGAAGACCCCGAGG